GTCTGTTAGGCTTCACGACTTTCATTTATAATCTGGGGGACTTGTCAAACATTTCACAGGATTTTCAGTAGTTTGTACGAAAGGAATCATTCCCCAGATTTCCCAACCACATCCCTTTTCTATTGACATAAATGGAAAATTTGGGTCTGGAACATCAGTGCAGGAATGTGACGAGCCTCTTACTGAGAATGCCCACTGCAGATGGGAACCAGACTCAGATTCTGAACGCAGCATCTACTGAAGAACGAATTCAGTAACAACAGTCCCTACTAGCAAGACAGTAAACCAGCAAGACTCCCTTTTAAAGAAAACCGACTCCCTCCGTACTGCACACATCCTTCTGCAAGCTGTGTGCCCTGCCAGCAGCACACACTTCATAGCTTTGCCTATTAGTTTTAACCATTTCCCACCGGGTGCCTTTTTCTAATGTGGTTAATGATGTGTTCGTGGGGGCCCAGGAGCCCAGGATGGCTGAGGGAAGACTAGAGGCATAGAAATACCACCCATGGGAGTTTCACTGGGGGGGCGGGTGCCGTTGCCTAGAAACGTGACAGATGATCGGCTAAATCAATTCATTAGGAAACAGAGGCTAGGCACGGAAGAGCAAATAGAGTGATACAAGAAACAATGGACATGTGGTCGGTTTGTATCAAAGTCTGGATCTAATGGACCAGGTTGATAAAGAGGTCGTGCAAGAACACCATGGCTGGTTAGAACACCAAATACGTGAGACAAACTGGATTGGAGCTTGATTTTTACAGGAGCCTCTCACATCCAGGACTGGTTGTTTATGCAACATGATTCTGTGCTTACAAATTAGAGGGCCTGGGAGTATCTTGGTTCGGATTTCCTCTTCACCTTCTACCTCAGCTATCTGGTCCAGCTAAGTGGGCTCAAAAGGAGCCCTGGTGGTACTTTGGGCTATGTGTTTGGCTGCTAACTGGAAGGTCAGCAGTTCAAAACCACCAGCAGCTCTGTGGGAGAACGCCTCAGCTTTCTACTCCTGTAGAGTTAGAGTCTCAGAAATGCAGAGGCCACTCTACTCTGTCCTATAAGGTGGCTGGGAGTAGGAAAGCACTCAATGGCAGTGCGTGAGTGAAGTGGGCTGAACACCCACTCCCTTCAGGGCTGAGGTGGGCTCACCCTCTTGTACAAGTGTCCTTCTCCCTTGGCTGGTCAGTGTCGACAGCAGCAGTTAGAACTCTCAGCCTAGGGAGCAGATTACCAGTGATCACAGTCCAATTCAAATGATTCGTGGTATCTGTTCACAACATTCAACTAGCCCATGTTAGCTGCTGTGTATTTGAATTATTGGAGCAGGTTCATCAGGAAGTCAGTCCTTTTTAAATAAAGCATTTCATGGAGCCTACAGTGAGTCATGGTGAGACAGGGCTACAGGTAACCCGAGCTCTCTAATTTTTCATCTTTTTCTTAAAAAAAATCATTTTGTTGTTCAAACTATACACAGAACACAGCACACCAGTTCAACCACATCTGCATGTACAGTTCAGCAACAAGTAGACTCTTCAAACTGTACAACCATGCTCACCCATTAAAAAATTTCACACAAATCCTACATTTGGGTCAGGTTAGAATAAATTGTTTTGTTTCTTGTGCTTCTGAAAGTACAATCAGTAGATTAGCTGCATTAGAATCAGTAGAGTTGGGTTTTGTTTATTTCTTTAGGGATTCTAAAACGGCAGGCATATATGATCCAACTCCAGACTTCTAGCCTGATCTGAAAGGGCCTTGTGAACATTGCAGTCCTACTGGGATTGGGTACCTTGATTGGGAACCTGCATTTTTATCAGTCTCCCAGCTAATAACTACTGGTACAGGCAGAGCGGGCAGGGGAAGGCTCTCTGAAAGACCATATGATTTCACCCAGACCAAGAGCTCACTTGAGCCATTTCCCACAAGGGGCTTGGTCAGCTGGATGTATTCAATGCCTCTGGGTAGTCTAGACAACCAAGAAGGAAGAGTGCTTACTGCACACTGATCAACACCTGCTCTTCCTAATAAGCAATGATCACGTACGTGGAAACTATTCCTTCTTCAGTGATATTTACTTATTACTTTTGTAACATACTGGCTCCTATCTTCCTCATTTTCTCCAGTCCTCGATGTCATGATACATCGTGTCCTCCCTCACAGGCAGGATCGTCTGAGTAAGCATTCTTTGCTTTGGTTGGCCAATAAAACAAAACCGAAACCGTCACCGTCACGTTTCTATAGTGCTCTGGGTTGCAAGTGCCCTTCTGCACAGGTTCACTTGGTAATAAAGGTAGGGGGCTGAAGAGCTGGCAGCCCAGGGCCACTAAGGGTAAGGGACAAATAGCATTCTATGCCAGAGTATTCAAATATTCATAAAAAATTTCCCTTAAAAAATTTTTTTTTAATTTCCCCTAAAATAATTCAGTATTTGGGCTTTTTCTTAAGGACATTTCACATCACTCTCAGGGAAGTTTATGCCTTGTATTAGAATCTCAAATAGCAAATTGAGCCATTTCATTAACACACCTGCATTCCTCTAAGCATCTAAATGCCCACACCTTCCCATTGACTGCTATTGACCCAGTGAATATCCAAGTAGATTTTTCATTGTTAGCACAAAATATATTATTATATCTCTAACATCTCTTAATGGGTCTCTCTCAAATAGCACTTTTATGAAATCAGCAACACGCCAAAAACCCTGGGAGGTCCGGTCTGCTCTACATCAAGATGAGCCTCTTGGGTGATAGACTCCAAGCCTTTGGCTAGTGCATTAGCATCTTGCTGTCCCCCTGCCCCTCTCCCTGCTGCAGCCTTCTTCCCGACAAGCTAAGGAATACTTTGAAAGGTGCTGTCTTGGGGAAATCAAATGTCACTGTTTCTAATTGCATTGGTTCTTCGATATCTAGAATGCTTTTTGTTGTTAGTGTAGGTGTGTGAAAGGGCCGTCAACAGGTTTATGGGGAAACGAACAGCTAAAGAAACGTCCCCACAAACTTTGTGACGCCCTCTCCTATTTACCTGACCCTGGTCTAGTATTGTCATCACCTGTAACTGGCAGGCTGAGTCTTGCCAGCGTCCCACGAACGATGCTTCCCTGCCTTGAGGAGCCCCCTCCTCCTGGCCCTGGAAGGGCAGCCTGCATCCCACAGGACCACCAGCCCATGCCCTGCCTCTGTGCCAGTTAAGACACCTCAGCCTTCATTACTTCACTTCCATCTGCTCGGGTACCATTACAGATGAGAAAACAGGGGCTCAGAAACGAATGGCTACTACACCCTCCTTCCACTGACTTTGTACCCAACACGAGGCAGTCTGGATAATTACCAATACATGCAAAGGACTCCCAAGAAATCCTTGGACTCTCAGAAGAGCATGGATCATCAGTGCCCCCACTGGAGAAGCAATGGGGTTGGCAGAGCAGGCAGGAACAGGCTCACTGAAAGACCATGCTGACAGCACAGTGCCCAGCTTCAGCCAAATATTTAAGTATGGATCCCACACTAGGTTTAGTCAGCTATCGCCCTTCACAGAATGGTTTTCTTTGAGAGTCATTTAAAACTGCCGGGTTCTGCGACAGTCCAGCTGAAAGCTGCAAGGACAAAGCCAAGGTTGAGACCTGCCAGCAGGTGCATGTTGTGAAGGAACGCACAAACGGGAGACACAAAGAGGGCGACGCTCACAGCACAAGACAAGGGTGGCACTGTGTGTCTGAAGGCCCAGCGGGATCTGCAGTGGACTCTGTCCTTGCGCATACCGAGACCTTCGAAACCTGTACCCTTCTCACAAGAATTTAGCTGTGGAAATGGAAAGGTGGGGTTTGGGATAAGGAAGCACACACAGGTCCATGATATTTTACCAAGCCGTTAAAATAAACTACATATTAACAGCCTGGTAGTTTTGAGGCCAAGAGGGACTTTTCTAATTTAGAGCAAGAAAAAAATAGCTGAAAAAAATTTTTTTAAAGAGGCAGCAGCTCTGGAACGTGCCAGTCAGTGGGGACAGGCAGGTGAGTGAATACGTTGTAGGCTTTGTCCTAAAGCACCCACAAATTGCGACAGCCCACCTTTCCCAGGGCCTGGAGGCTTAGCTGCAGGAGAAACGGAAGAGCAGTCTTCAAAGTATGTCAGTGAGTCTCTGCCCTCCAGCCCAACTTACCTGATTGCTGGAGTCAGGGTGAGGGGCTAAGTGTAGTTCTACAACCTGCTGAAAAGCTCTGAGAGACTCTCATGCCCCAAAGGCTCATGGGAAACGAGAAGTTGCTTCATGCACATGGAAGACAAGCGGTAATAAACCAAGGCAGGCAGAGGGCACACACTTGCCACTAAGACAAACATGTGGAAGGGCAGCCTTGCTCACCTTGTAGCAGGCCGGGGCAAGCAAAGCATGCAGCTCCATTTCACAAGTCCCCAGGTTTGCTTTGTGAAAAACAAGTTTGAGATTCTGCAGCTCTTTTCCTTAGGAACTGACCGCCATTGAAAGAGCCAGGAGTCTGGACCAGAACCTTGAGGAGGACAAAGCTCTTTCAAGAGGAGCCCCAAAGGCCTTTGACTTCCAATGAATTGTCCGTGGTCTCCTAAAAGAACCTCACCAACAATTCAAGATCGTGACCTTCTTCCAAAATGACAACACAATGGAATTCAATTCAGCTAAGAGGCTAGATCTCCCTCTGGGACTCTTATTTTAAGGTCCCTGGCGAGAAATGCCTACTGCCTTTCCATGAGACAGATGGAAGCAGTCACCCACTTCCTTTCTGCTCCGAATCCTTTTCAGCAATAGATGCTTCTGCTGGCATAAAAACCCACTCTCGGGCCCCAGACATAGGCAAATAAAGGGGACAACCACCACCCAGTAAAACCTGTTATCAAACATGGCATTTTCACCCCCCACCATTGTCACCTGGCCAAATGGAACTGTGTGTCCACATTAACAGCCCTGTCCCCAGGACACAAGGTGTTCTCTGACAGCAATGCACAAAGCACGTGGAAAAAACAACATAAAGTGGATCCACTCTTGGGTGAATTTTATTCATTCAAAGGTGAAATTCCTTTCTGGGGAATTAAAAAATAAAATAAAATAAAGCCAGGCGGGACAAGCAGGCACCGTGGAACAAACCGGGGACGAGGCCTGCTCAGACAAAACCAGAGCAGACATCAACTCACTGCAGTCACATGAGGGTGGTGTTTATTCGGTACAGGCAGAGCGCGACCGTGGCAGCACAGGGCCACACAGTGAGAAAAGCACACTTGAGCTTTTGGTGAATTCTGCCTAGGGTCTGACAAGCCTCTCCAGTTTCCTTCCAGAGAGGTCAGCTGATTCAAGAAACTTGAAAGCCCTTTCTCCTATGGAAGTAACCATAATCAAAGATCCTTTCCCTAACTACCTACTCCCCGAGGTTAGATGTGCCTAGCACATTTATGTTTAAATATTTATCTAAACATAACAGAAGGCATCATCGGACTGGCTGGAGTGATGGGGAGCTAGGGGGGGGGCAAGTTTACTGTGCTTTGTACGCAGGTTGCTGGGTCTCCTGGCAGGTCTTGTCCTGCTCTGCATCTTGGGGCTGGGCATTCCGAGACTCAACCATCTGAGGATAAAAGGGACCTACCAGCCAGTTGAGTGGCGTGTTGTTAACAAGATAATCCATGACCTCATCTAGAGAGGCCCTCATTTTCTGCAGCTGCCCCTTGCTGGAGGTGAGAAGGCCGCTGGACACCTCCTTAAAGGAGGCAGCATTGCGGAACACCGAGTAGATGTCACCTGCCATGACCCCCAGGTGGTGGGCTTGATCCTGAACGTTCTGCGGCAGGCCTTGGACGCTGGCCAGGAGGGTGAGGCAGCTGGTCTGCAGCTGCTGAGTCAGGTTCCGGGCAATGGTGAGTGTGCGCGACTCGATGTGCTAAAAATCAGACAAGTGAAAGGGGTTAGCAGACCCAACAGTGCTGGGCAGGCATGAGCTCAGTGACGGTCAACTGCTTCTGTGCCCATCACGTCAATGGCATTTCTCTGTTTTAAAAGAATCTTCTTTTTAAAAAAACCCCCCTAACCATCCCGGGTGAAACAGTATTATCCAGACATCACAGACAAACAAACTTGTTCCCGGCATCGGGTGTGGGGAGCTGACCTGGTGCCTGAGCCTCCCAACTCCATCCACTCAAGCTCCGGAAGCCTAACCGGCAGAGGGACCAGGGACCGCATGAAAATATGCTGCGCTAGGAGGGCGATTTCGAGACTCCCTCCAGAAGTAAGGTTAGTCATTAACTTAGATGGGTTCCTATTTCTTTCAAGGCACATGCATATTCATTTCACAGTCCCAGAACTGCCACAGCCTATGTCCATGGTCGGTAACGTTGGTGGTCATTGCCCCATCCAGTGGCTTCTGACTCACAGCAGCCCTGGCGGTGCAGAAGAGAACTGCTCCATCGAGCTTTCAAAGCTGTGAGCTTCCCAAAGGACATCCCCCACGACCCAGGCTTCGAAAGCGTCTCTGAGTGGATTCAAACCTCCAACCTTGTCAGCTATGAGCTGAGTATTTAACTGTGTGCACCACCCGGGAACTCCTTCTGGAACACCGGCCTCAACGGTTGCCTTTTCATCTCGTTGATTCCCTCAGTTGGTCTCCGCTTTGATCTGCTCCCATAAAGAGCAGGGCCAAGAAGACCGCCTGGAAGAAGCGCCGTTCTATTGACGCAGGCGGTCAGCAGGAATCCAAACTGACTCAATGGCAATGGGCTCTGGGACTTTGGGCTTCAGGCCTGTTCAGCATGGCGTCTCGTCCAGGAAGCCGTCTGACTCACCCACCCCCAACCGTCTGAGGCTGAGCTAGGGTCCCTTTCTACATCGCCTCACAGCATCTGGCTTTATCCTGGCACATCTGTCGCCCTAGCAGCACCTGTCGGCCTGCACGTCTGCACCCGCTTCAAGGGAAGGACCCAGGTTTCTCACGGAGTTGTGCCCTACTCGGGCCACGGGTGTCTCTGTCGGTTGCTAGATAATGTGACTCCTTTTTTTGGCTTTCCTGTCACAGGCTTTTGTTGGAGAAGTTTATGGAATTAAGAGGCTTAAAGGCCAAGTCTGCGAGGGACGTCTGCAGCTTCCTCACCTCTGCACAGTGGGACTCGTCTGTATCGTCATGGCCGATGCTTCTCTTCCACTCCACCCAGGAGGTGTGCAGCTTCTCCTGGGCATCCTGAAGCCTCTGATTGGCACCCTGCACGTTCATCCTGGCAAACCCAATCTAGAGCACAGGGGTGTATGACAACAGAATATTTTGCATTAACGTGCATCCAGGTATGGACTATAAATCAGATGGCATAAACTGAAGGTGTTTAAGGAGCGCTCGCCAGCTCTCCATCATCAGTAAGTCAGCTAAACAGGAGCAACTTTTCCTGCCTCTGCCACTGCATGACTATGACGTCACGATGCCCAAATGTATCTGCAGTGAACCAGAGGTAACGCAACTCAAGTAGCATTGGTGTATGTGCGAAAGAAAAGTTCAAAGAGCCAAAGAGCAAGGAAGTCGGCCTCCCTCGTCCCCACTGCCAATCATCTGTTCTTCCCTTTCCAAGAAGAAACAGCTTTCTGATGGTCGTGCAAGGCACAATGTTCTTTAATTTGGCAAGCTCTCATCACCACACAGTAACCTATTGTAATGTATCGATTTAGTTAGTTCCTTATTAGTTGGCACCTGCTGTTTATAGTCTTTAGCAAATCCAAACAAATGTGCTTATCTGTCTGATAAATTCCTGAAAGTGAAATTGCTCAAAGGATGGGCCTGTTTGTAATTTTCCTAACACACTGCCAAGCAATCCCTTGAATTCTCTAGAAGCAAACCAATGTGCTTCTCTCCATTTATACCCTTGCCAAGAGCAAGTGTGATAGAACAAGAGAGGTATCTGAAGCTGCTTCACTTAGGAATGAGTGAGTCACCTGACTTGGCATCATGCATATGTGTAAGCTATTTCTAGTTCCTTTTCTATGAGTTGAGGGTAGACCCTTGGCCCATGTTGCTATTGGCTGTTCAGGAAGGAACATTTAAAACGCCTGGACTCCGGGTTACATTTACTTTTAATCTCACCCCGGAAGTGAATGGACTCACTTCAGATGACCGACCGGACAGTGTGTGTGACTCACCAGGTTGACGGTGGAATGGAGCTGAGAGATGGTGTCCTGGCTCTTCTGCTTAGCTTCCCTCACCCTGCCGAGAGCCTGCTGATAGGCACGGGCACGGAGCTTGCTAGAGAGAGAGCCCAGTCTAACGTAGTAACTCGGCTTCTGAACGATCTCAAATCCTTCCAGCCTTTTCATCTGTTCCTCTGCAGTTTGGAAGAAGGAACACCAATGTTTACAGGAGCACACCGACATGTGACGAGCTCTGGACACTAACCCAGGTCTTGACTGTTGTCCATTCCACTCACCCACCTGCAGAGGATGCACCCACTTTCCTAATGCTGTTCGTCTCCTGCTTAAACCCCTGAACATCACTGTGCAGACATCTTGTCACTTCCCATGAGAACAAGCTTCTTGGGCAACATAGAAGCCAGTGCAAAACTAAACCAAGCCCAGTGCTGTGGAGCCGATTCCAGCTCACAGCGACACTGCGTGTCACGGAGAACTGCTCCACAGGGCCTTCCTGGCGGCATCGTGTCTACAGAAGCAGATCGACATGCCTCTTCAGCTGCAGAGCTGGTTTGACACTGACCTTGACACTGATAGGTGAGAGCAGAGCAAGTGTGTCACCCAGGGACAGAGGAGGACCCCGCTCAACGGTGAATGAGGATTCTCTAAAAGCAGCTCCTTAAAGACAATCTGTTTATGAGAACAGTTTTTCTAGGCCATGGTTCTCTAAGAAGGTGATCGTACCCCTGGGGGGTACTGGATGATCCCAGCAGGGGTTGCAGAAGCAGATCCTTACACTTGATCGTGGATGACGGGCTACATTACAGGTTTTTAATTGCCAGGGACAGGCACAGAGTAATATTTGTCTGGAAAGGGGGACAGAAGGCCAAATTGAGTTAGCGCTTTCTATATCCCATTCAATGTGAAACAAGGTTTCTTTAAAAGGCAAATCTTGCTTTCTAGGTAGAAAGTTGTATGTAGAGAGAGTGATGAAAGAGTTTGAGAAGTAGATCACGGCGAGAGGTGTACAACATTGTACACATAATTACTGCCACTGAACCAGAAGCATGAAAATGGTTAAAACAGCCCATTGTACATAGTACACACGCACAAAATACCAACACCCCGAGTCAATGCTGACTCATGAGGACCCTTGATCGGGCTTCTGAGGCTACACATCTTTACAGGAGCAGAGAGTCTTTCTCCCACGGAACAGTGGGCGGGTTTGAACTGCTGGCCTGGTGGTCAGCCGTCCAACTCACTCACTCAACAGGGTGCTCCCAAGGCTCCTTACATACACACAGAGGGGGACTTCCAAGTTTGTGGAAAAATGGATTAAAGGATAATGAATTTTTTTCCACGAATGTTCATGGTGTATGTGTGTGTGTAGCGCCATGGTGATACCGTGGTGAGGCACTTGGTTGCTAACTGAAGTCAGCGGTCCAAGCCCACCAGTCACTCTGCAAGAAAAGATGTGGCGTTGCATTAGTACAGAGGACAGCAAGCCTGTGGGCAGGCCTGCTCCGTACCAAAGGGTAACTCTGAATCGGAATCGACTGAGCAGCAACAGGTCTGGGCTGGTACACATACATATACATGGGGACTCTGGAAAATGGGATTGTCTCATGGACGTTTTGAAGCCTCTTCAGCTATAGATATAAACATAATAGAAATTTTTTTCCCTACAAAGGAAGGCCTATCTACAAAGACACGGGACAGTAAAGCAGTTGATGGGAGATGCAAACTAGAACTGATAACAGAAAGGCCTATGGGATTTCTGGGGGTGATGGGAAAGTTCTAAAGCTGGGCTGCAGGGATGACTGCCAACCATCAAGTGAGACTGAAGGCAGATAAATTTTACTGCATGTATAATGGATTTTAATGAAGCTGCTAAAAAAGAGAAGATTACTTTAAACATCATTTCACCACAAGAATCCCCTTACCTAGTTCCGCCTCGGTGAGAGGGAGATACTGGTCGACCAACAGCTCTGATTGAGTGAGGGCGCTCTCAACGCCGCTGTTCACCAGCTGCATCATCCGACTGTCCAAGACTGTGTGAATGCTGCTACTGACCACAGACTTGGTCATCTCCACACTGCCCGTCACTGCTCCTTTGGTCTTGTCCACAACCCCAGTGATCGTGCTGGCCACGGAATCCTTGGCCCCGCTCACAGCAGTCGCCACGGCATCCTTGGCCCCAGTCACGGCACCTTTGGCGTTGGCAACGACCTACGAAGAGGACGAGAAGCGTGGCTGTGAGCACACACCGAAGATCCTCACAAGGGCAGCCCGGTTGCTGAGTTCGTGCTACCACTGAGCTTGGGAGTCCTGAGCATGTCACTGGTGATGATGAGACTCCATGACTGACGAGACCCACCTTTCTCAGCAGGTGTATCTACCTACCCAACACATCACCCTTCTAAGAGCCCTAGTGGGCTACACACTGGGGTCAGCTGGCTTTCTACTCTCAGAGTGACTGTCTCGGAACCCACAGGGGCAGTTCTACCCTGTCTACAGGGTTGCTATGAGTCGGAATCGACTCGATGGCAGTGAGTGTTTTAGGTTTTTTTTTGACTTATTACCCCTTCAAGGTGGCTGGAGGGACAACTGTGGTAAAAGGATAAGACGTGTTATCACATGACCCCTGTGTTATGTTTTGTTTGTTACAAGGGGTTTGGTGACTTTTCTTGTTTTTTTGATCGGGAGGCAGATAGGTTGCTCTAGAGAAGTCGGACACAGGTGGCCCTCGCCCTTGTGCCTCTGTAGCTACACAAGCAACCACACCACACACGCATGACTGGGCCCAGTCCCCGTCAAATATTCTGCAAAGGGGGGAAAGGGGAGCTGAGAGCAATGAGGACTCCATCAGTCTACTCGTGGGGAGCGAATAACAGTTATAGGTGAAAAAAAATACATATACATAAAATAACAGAATATTATTAATAATAATAATAATATATAACATAACAGTGGTTCCTGGGGTGAAAGGTGGTAGAGGGATGAGGAAAAAGGGGAGTTGATATCAAAGAGTTCAAGAAGAAAGAAAATGTAGCAATTATACAATTATGCTTGATCTATTTGAATTATGGAATGTTATGACATCTGTAAGAGCTCCCAATAAAATGATGAATTAATAAAAAAGAAAGAAGGAAAATACTACGCACATCTATGTTACAATAACGAAAGACGGCTCCGGGGAAACCACCATTGGGACTGGTTGCTCCAGGGAAGGAAGCAAGGGAGCAGCTCAGTGAACTAGTGCTCCAGGCTCCCTACCCCTAAGCCAGCTCACTGGCTCCTGTATCGGAGCGGGGACACATGAAAGATGGCCTGCGCAACCTATGTACAAATGTGCTTGATACAATTGACGTATGGATTGTTAAAAGAGCTGGAAGAGCCCCAATAAAGTGATCTCTAAAGAAAAAGAAAGGTGGCCTCTGAGAATAGCTGAGGTGTACAGCCTAAAGTTTCCAAAGGGATTTTACAAATGGGCAAACTGTCCAAGACCACACATACAAGGATGATGGAAACCCCAGACCATGACTCGGCACTATGTTCATTATCAGAGGAGAAAGCAGCTTTAAGCCTAATGTGGGGCCCCCATCAAGGTAGAACAGAGTAGAACTACCCCTTCAGGTTTCTGAGACCATAAATTATGGGAGCTGACAGCCTCATCTTTCTCCTCCAGAGCAGCTTGTGGGTTCGAACTGCTGACCTTGAGGTTAGCAGCCCCACGTGTAAACCACTACACCACCAGGGTAGTAAATCCTTCTTTATTTGTTAATACCTCCAACATCAATCTTGCCAAGATGATCATTTATAAGAACTTTCAATACCCCAATCCAAGTGTCTGTGAATTTTAAATAAGGTAACTTGACTCACAATGTTACACACAAGTCGCAGGAATATAACATGCACTAAATAATCCCAAACAACAAAACTAATTTCAACAGCAATGGATGCAAACATTCTAAAAGCTAGCTCCTAAACTTGTCGATTTGGGCTATAAAAGACCAGGAGTCTCATTTATCCCTTATTGAACACCCCATGCAAATCAGTTATTTTAACTTCATTTGCAGTGCTAAAATCCCCAACTGACAGATGTGACAGAAAGTGTTCTAATTCAAAGGTCCCAGATCTCTCGCAGCGTTGTCCAAGTCAGTATTTGCCTTTGGGCAGCATGCAGAGTCGATGACCACCTGGTGAACCAGGAAATCTCAGAGTGTCCGGCCCCAGGGCCCAGCACGAGACCCCACTGCTCACCTGGTTTGTTGGCTGGTTCAGAATCGGCAGCTTCTCCTCAATCCTGTCCAGCTCTTTGCAGGCATAGGTATTAGCAACTGCAACTGGAAGACACACAAATCGGGAAATGTTGGGGTTTTTTTTCCCGAGAGGCCCATTAGGGAGAGCTGGTGGTGCTGTGGGTTAGGTGTCGGGTTGCGAACCTAAGGACAGCAGTTCAAACACAGCAGTCACTCAACATAGAGCTGGTCTGCTTCCACAGATATCTACTGTCTGGGAAACTGTAGAGTTGTGGTGCGTTGGAATTGACTCGTTGGCTGTGGGTTTTTTGAGTGCTCCCTTATAAACCTAGAAGTCCATGAGTTAAGCATCCAGGGAAATGGTTTACATCTATATCCCATTGTAGTTTCTGACATGGAGACATGGGAGCATTCCTTTATACAGGAATGATGACAAAGGTGAATGAGGTTTCTTTTGGGGATAATGGTTGTACAACTATGAATACACACAAAAAAAAACCACTGAATTGTACATTTTGAATAGTTTATGATTGCTGTTGAGAATAGACACAATAAGCCATCCACTTGTTCAACCACTCCTCCAAGTGCAACTCCGTAACACTGGCCACATTCTGAGTTGTGCAGCCACCCCCTTCCCCACCTCCACATAAACACACAGACCCCTGGGGTCCCTTATCTAACCCTTCACGGGGACCACTCTCAGTTGGATCTCAGAGATGCATCTTGAAAAAGCACAACGCTCGAGGCGGGCATCTTTCCTATGAATTGTACAGGTGAATTATGTGGATGTGAATTTCACCTCAATAAAGATGTCGCTTTTTAAGGCAGCTTGTGCGCGCTGAGTGGTCAAAGCAGCCAGTCATTTCAGCTCACTGACGGTGTGCTTCCCTTATGATCTCAGCCGCCAGCACAGGAGCACCTCTGAGGGGACCATGACAATCTTCTAAGGCTGTCAAGGAGGTCTTCGATGACAACGAGGGTCTGCAGGTAGTTTCTAGGTAAAGCCACCATTTGCCTCAAACCCAAACCAAACTCAACTGCCATCGAGTCGATTCCAACTCGTGGCGACTGTATAGGACAGGGGAGAATTGCCCCTCTAGCTCTTTAAGACTGTAACTCTTTACGGGAGCAGAAAGCCTCATCTTGCTCCCTCAGTGAGGCTGGTGGTTTCAAAGTACGAACTGCGGATCGGATAGCGCAGCCCAAGGCAGACAAAGCTACTGACTCCCTGAATGTGCCACTATATGCTCAGGGCAATTAGGTTGGCATTCACAGTATTTAGGCAGCTCTCGGCTCAAGCCTGAGCAATCCCCTGGACTGGCTCCGAGAGCAAAGTCAGAACTCACGTTGAGGCTCTAGCTTCTGGATGATGGGCAGGGCACTGGCCGTGGCCGCGCAGGTGATGGTCTTCACGCCCTTCTCAGCAATCTCGCACACGGACTTCAGGTAGGGGTGCTGATCCTTTGTGTTGACGTAGGCCGAGGACACCAGGTCGAATGTGGAGCTCACCAAGGGGAGGTTGGCCACCCTGGTCACCACGCTCTGCAACCCAAGGGGGGAGGGGAATGGGGTTTAACCTCTCAGAATTCGTGAGGAGGAAACAAAGTCTACACACAGCCAAGGAAAACTCTTACCATTTGTGGTTCAACGGCAACGGATCCCATTTTTCCTTCTGGAGAAAGTGTAAGAGAAATCCGTTTTAGGATCTGAGAGGGATGGGACCCTTTCAATAGTCACTCCCCAACCCAAGCTACTTTCATGGATGGCACTTCTCCCAGCCCTCCACCCCCCTGGCTTCTCCTCAGGACAACAGCTTCTGAAGCTGTTTCATAGAGAAAGCTCATAAAGAAATACAAAGTTGCTGTGTCCTCATTCTCTCCAGGCCGAGTTGAAATCCTGTTAAGACTCAGGACCGATTGCAAGTAGACATCTTAGTCAGCACTCCTCTGGGGGCCCCAGGACTAGAGCTGAAACACTTGTGAGAGAACTGAAACTTGTGTAGGGCAGACTAGGGAACCCTGGAGGTGTAGTGCTACACACTGAGCTAACACAAGGTCAACAGTTTGAACCCACCAGCTGCTCTGCCGGAGAAAGATGAGGCTGTCTACTCCCATCAAGATTTAAAGTCTCAGAAACCCAAAGGGGGAGTGTTACCCTGCCCTATGGGGTCTACTCGATGGCAGGTGAGTTGAGAAGGTGCCCTGGTGGCATAATGGGTTACGTGTTGGGCTGCTAACCGCCTGGTGGGCAGTTCAAACTCATCAGCCCCACTGCAGGAACAAGATAAGGCAGTAGGCTCCTGTCGAGATTTACAGCCTCGGAAACCATATATAAGATCACTGTGAGTCGGAATCGACCGGCGGGCAGTGAGAAGTACAAAAGCGGTCCCGACAAGGAACTGAGAAGCTTTTGAGGGGCTTTGAAAAGTAAACTTAAGAGTCCCCACCTACCTACCGCGCGTCTACCTAGCCTCTGCGCACCCAATCGCCTCTGATCCGGGAGGGCGGGGCCGGCACAGCCGCAGACCACCACTTCCGGGTGAGTCAGTCCATTCTTTTGCCACTTGAGGGTCTCAATTCTACAAGTGAGCAGGTGGGGGCAGTGGGTCTGTCCCCCGGAGACGGCGGTACCGACTGGCTGACTGTGCAGCCCGGTTCCCCTTAAGCAAGGTCACCGCGGGACCAAACGGAAACTGGGACCCAGACCCCGTCGAGCGAGCCAGGAGCGATTTAATCACGCCCAGTTAGCGGAGAAGACACCTCAGCGGACAGACGCCCCCAAACCGAGCCCCGAGCCCCTGCCGGGGGACGCGCGGGGGAGCCCGCCGGTGTAGGGAAGGATGCGCACCCACCGGGCGACGGGAGCGAAGAGGCGAAGGCAGGCGTGCGCAGCCGAGCCGCTGCTGGTACTCGGACGGCCTGGGGAGACCAGCGCGCCGGCGACCGCCTTTATAGCCCCGCCTCGGTGACACGTGACCGCGGCCGGGGAACCCCGCCCCCTCGCCCGCCCCGCCCTCCTCCCCCAACGCGCGTCGTTCTTGGCGCGTGGAGGCTCCGATCTGCGCGGGAGTGGGGGGGGGGGTACTGCCTAGAAGGGGAGGGGTCTGCTTAGTGGGGAGACCTGGCCTGGGCCCTGCCTTACAGGGACCACCGCCACCACCAAGAGGCCCCAGTGCTCAAGTGGGCTTTGAGATTTTGCAACTGGCAATGGAAGGGGCGCACTGTTACCAAGGGGACAAGTTACCAAGACCCCTGGTCGGGCAGTGGATAAAGCGCCGGTGGGAAAAGCGAGCGTCAAACCCTAGCTGCTCTGCAGAGAAAAGGCCTGGCGATCTGCTCCTGTATAGATTACAGACTGGCAAACTTCGTAGACTGCCCTGTAAAGCAGCCCTGGTGGCGGTGGCGTTGGGCTGCTAACCAGAGTGCGCAGTTCGAAAGCCCCTGCCTCTCGGAGGGAGAAAGAGGAGGCTTATTCAGGCTCAGAAGCCCATTGAGGCAGTTCTATCCTGTCCTTTAGGGTCACTGTGGATCCACTCAAGTCCTGGGTTATGTGCTGAGCTGCCAACGGAAAGGTCAGCAGTTAGACCCCATTGAATAGTTGCAGGGCAGTGTTACTGTCTCCTCGAGGGTCACTATGAATCCACTCTGGCAGTGAGTGTGGTTTGGGTTTTCTTCATTTAAGACAGTTTTATCTGTAGGACATCTGTTTTGCTGTTCTCTTAACTTTAAAGTTCCTCAAATATATGTCTAAGATGAAGCAAACATTTTAAAGGGGTTGCAGAAAACTGTGGGTCAGTCTCCTTCTTTCCCCGGCAAGACAATAGCACATCACTACAGTAGGAAGGCTGCTTGTGCTATTACCCAAAGGGCTTTTTTCTTTCTTTAATTGTGTAGGTTGGGCATTATTTTAAAAAGGAATTCAGTCAAAATCTGAGTTCCAGTTTTTTTTCTTGTGTAAAATAAAAGGAGTTAGAATCAAATTCTTTGAGCAAACCAGCTTTGTAACTGCCTGGGCCAGGTTCAGGGGGTTCGTTCCCACATCTGCCCTGTCTGTCCCATGATGTCCAGAACTAGTCTGGATGAAATGAGAGGAGGGTCGGACAGGGATGGGCGGTAAACAGGTGAGGACAGTTGGAAGGGGAGCAAGGCACCAGCATTGGGGCTATGGAGGGTGGGGTGGGAGAGTTCTTCGCTTCCAGTGTGGGGAACAGCTACAAACATGTTAAGCTATAAATGTGGAACTTTGGGAAGCCCTCAAAAGGTTTCACCTCAATTATTTAACCAATGTTGCAAGCACCATAGAAACAGTTTATCCTATTTAAGTCCCAAAATAATTCATTACAAATGTACCCCTTATGCTGGACTGAAAAAGAAAAGTAGGATTGTCTAAAAATACTAAGACAAAAGTTAATGTTAAGGAGTCTGAGAATGCCCAATAATGTTCTAAACAAACAAAAAACAAACTCATTGTCATCAAGTCAATACTAACAGTGACCCTGACGATGGGGGTGAGGGGGTGTTTTCAACACTATAACTGTTTACAGGAAAAGAAAGCCCAGTCTTTCCACAGTGGGGCTGCTGGCAGTTTTGAACTGCCAACCAAGCAGCTCGTAACCCAATGCATAACCACACCACACTATCAGGGCTCCTCGATGTCATAAAGGGTTTGGTTTTGTTGTCCTTGCCTATGTTAACATTTAAATGTTTGAATCTTTTTTTTTTAATTCATGTTCTTTCCTTTCTTAATAGTGTTCCAGCCTTGTTGGTGCTTTAGGCAAATGTGTCCTTTGCCTGTTGGTAACCCATTCCTGAGCTGACGCAAGACAAAGAGAGTACTGAATTTTGATCCATGTGTTGTTCTTATTCTTCACTGTGCCCTTTCCCCTACAAAATGCTTTCGGTTTTGCAACCCCATGAGTCATTTCCCCTCTGAAAGAGCATGTGACCTGGTGCTTCTCTTTCATTTTCTATGAGCTGTAAGGGGGAGGACTCCCGCTAGGGCCCACACGCTCCAGACTCATAAAGATAAAACAGCGAATTCTGTGCTCCAACTCCCGTTAGAAATCTGTGAGGAGATAGACGGGTGGCAGCACAGCACTGGAAACGGGCTGTGTAGGCTCCTCTTAAGCCAGGGTAATGTGCCACCACCACAGACCTGAGTTTCCGGGTTTTGTCCCAGTTTTTCCAGTATGAAATCCACGTCCTCAAGACGTGGCTTCCTGGGGGCTCCAGGATCTAGCAGCTGCCTCTCCCCAGTCTCCTCTCTGATCTCCGTTAGCCTTGAACTTTAAGCTCCAGCTCTACAGATCCACTTGAAGCTTCCTGGGTAGAAGTTCTGTGTACTGTTGCTCATGCTGTTCACTGGAAACTCATTCTCCAAAACTCTGGTCAGAGGTCACCATCTTCGGGAAGCTCTGCTGACGTTGACGTAGACCTCCGTCCTCCAGGCAGACATCTACTCTCACCTTTATTACACCGCATTGTTGGGGTGTAGATGTGTAACTCCTCGAGGTCCAAAGACCTTCCTAAGGCCCGGTATACATCATAAATACTGCCCGCATGAAACAGTTGTTAAATAAATACTGGCTGAAGTGTGTTACCGTTCCGCTTTTCAATGAATAATTCAGTTGTATGCACATCACGGGACTATTTCTGGGGTAGGGTGGGCACCAAAAGAGTTTGCATTGCCCGTCCCCGAACGGTTGCCAGGTTACAGAAACCTGGTGGATCTGAAAGAGTCTGAGTTTTATTTCCACATGTGTGGAAAAGGAGAATGGGGGTGGCGGGGAATCTTTCTTCCAAATGCTGGGGTCTCCTGTCTCTTGGTTCTCACAGGATATATATATTATATGTATAATATATATATATATACATACACACAGGCTGAGTGAAACAGTTTTTTAGACAGTCACAAATCTTGGGATGACAGGTACAACCTAGGAAAACAAAGTTTTGTTTTAACAAAGATCTACTATTACAAAGCTTCTGTTACTTTGGGGCCCTAAATCTAATCTCCTGGGCAGGCTGGGAATGCAGGTCCTGGCCTTCAGTGAGGGGAGAAAGGAAGTGTGGGAGATCTATAACGCTTAGAGACGAATCAGGTCATTGGCATAGCTAGTACTAGCCAGAAGTCCTGCCTGGCTACTCTCACAGGATACTCTGAGACAAGATTAGCGGGGTTTAGCTCAGGGTCACAGGTCACAGCTAAGGAAGATTTCTAGCTAAATTACATATAAACAAAGAATATAATTCTAACTATATTATAATTCATTCATGAAATAATAGAGGATTGGCTCTTGAAGTGGACTTGTCAGTTCATGGATTTCAATGTGGGTCCTCAAGGTAACCAGTAGTCCCCCCACCTGTATTAGAGCTTACATTCTGACACCTTGCTTGGCAAAAAGCTGTGGTTGGGAGTGATAGCCCCAAATCCATTTGCAGACCCCTTGCATAGACTAAGCCTCCATTATTCAATTCTCTGATCATAAAACAAGGGGGTAGGTAACCTTGCCCTCAGGCAGAATGCCTTGGGGCATTGATAGCCTCCACCGATCTCCAGCCAACCCTTGGAGGAGCAGTCTCTCGCTTTGGGACTTGCCAAGTGGGTCCCTGATGGAGGTCATGGTACTGGAACGGTACTCTGCCATCAAGTTCATGCTGCTTCATGGACCCTATAAGACAGGGTTGAACTGCCCCTGTGACTTTCTGAGACTAACTCTTTAGGGGAAGAGAAAGCCCTGTCTTTCTGACACTGAGAGGCTGATGGTTTCAAACTGCCAACCTTGGAGTTAGCAGCCCAAGGAGTAACCACTCCACAACCAGGAGTGTACAAGGGGTCCCAAAATCATGAGTGATGCCCTCTCAGTCGTGCCCTGACTGCCTTGGTCGGAGGGCCCTGGAGGACCAATCGTGTAAGCCCTTCAGTCTAATGATGTACATGTCACAATCATGGCCCTGTTCCTGCTGCTATAGCCCCACCTGTCATTGTGATGTTTCCTTTGCCCACCCAGGCCCTTTGGAAAGCTTGGAATCACAATGAACTCTTGGATGCCAGTGTAACCTCGTGTTGATGGCCTCCCTTATTGAGGTGCTGTGTCTATCTTCATGTGATCTCTGTCTCTCTGAAGACTTAATAAGTGTTCTCCTCAGAGCGTATTTGAGATCATGTCTCTCTTGTAGACTGTTCTGTAAAACATACCTGACTTTGTAAATGCTTTACAGCAGTTGTCCACAGTAGGGTCCCTGGCCAATAGCATGGGCTTGTTAGAAATGACGCTTCTCAGGCCCACCCCCCATCCTAGTAAATCAGAAAATCTGACATTGTGTTAAGTCGTCCAGGTGATCTGAGAGGCTAAGAACCATTTTTCACAGAGTGATTTCTCACAGCGCACCCTGGAGATGCAAAACTCACGGCCATCGAGTCGATTCCAACTCACGGTGACCTTATTATAGGACTGTAACCTTTCACAGTAGTAGAAAGCCTCCTGTTTCTCCTGCAGGGCTCCTGGTGGTTTTGAACTGCAGACCTTGTGGTGAGCAGCCCAAAGCTCAAACCACTACGCCATCTGAGGCATCAGAAACCATATTTCTCCTCTTTCCCCAAGCCTACTCAATCAGCATCTACTCTGGTTGGGTCCCAGGAGCCTATATTTTAACAACCCTCCACTTAGCACCACGGCTTTCTTCTTAAGGAGGTCTGGTGGTGCCACGGGCAAGCACTGCCTGGCTACTCCTTGGGAGCAGTGTGGCACTTGCTTCCCTAACAATGAACAGCTTGGAAACCCTACAGGGCCAAACTCAGAACTCTCCACCATGGAGTCCATTCTGACTAATAGCCACCCTGCAGGACAGGTTAAGAACTGCCCTTGTGGCTTTCTGAGGCTGTAGATCTTCATCTTTCTCCCTGAGAGATTAGTGA